GGGTGTGTGGCCTTATGACACACTTCCGGTGATGTCAGGGGGTGTGGCATATGCTAATGAGTTATGCTAATGAGTTCCCCTAGCTCTTTTTCTACGAAACGACCCCTGGAAACAACCATTTATATCCAGACTTCAGCATCACCGTTCTGAGGTCAGCACGAGCTCACGTTGGCAGAGATCTTTTCCTGCACGGGGCGATCGTGGGCGAGGGAGATGGGAACGGCCCTCAAGTCACAGGTGACTCACGGCGACGCCCGCAGGGTTTTTCAAGGCAAGAGACAGAGGGGGGGTTGCCATGGCCTGCCTCTGCGTTGTGACCTTGGTCTTCCTTGGTGGTCTCCCATCCAAGTACTAACCGGGGACGACCCTGCTTAGCTTCTGAGTTCTGAGAAGACTGGGATAACCTGAGCCGCACACGTCAGGGCCGAGGTTGGCAGTCGGTGGAAAGCACCATCAAGTTGCAGAAGGAGAAGAAGAGAAGAAGAGATGGGATCTATACCCCCCCCTTCACTACCCGAAGGAGTCTCAGAGCAGCTTACAGGCTCCTTTTCCCTTCCCCTCCCCACAATAGACACCCTGTGAGGTAAAAGAAGAAGAAGAGATTGGATTCATACCCCGCCCTTCACAACCCAAAGGAGTCTCAGAGCGGCTCACAAACTCCTTTCCCTTCCCCTCCCCACAACAGACACCCTGTGAGGTAGAAGAAGAAGAGATTGGATTTATACCCCACCCTTCAATACCCAAAGGTGTCTCAGAGCAGCTTACAGACTCCTTTCCCCTTCCCCTACCCACAACAGACACCCTGCGAGGTAAAAGAAGAAGAAGAGCTCATTAGCGTAACTCATTAGCATAACTTATTTGCATATACCACACCCCCTGACATCACCGGAAGTGTGTCAAGAGGAAACACCCACCGCTCAGGCTCCACTGGACCGTTTTGGATTGCTAGCTATTGGGGGGGGGAGCGTGCAGATCTGTCCTCGCAGAGGAGGGAGAGCTTGTACCTGAATAAAACTCGGTCTTAAAGGCTCCACTGGTCTGTTTTGGACCGGGGGGCTGGGAGGAGCTCTGCAACTTACCTGTCTGCTTCTTGCTCTGACTGAGGGCTGCTGGGAGCAGGGGGTGGGGCTTGTTGCATGTGCCCGCCCCCTGGGCTCTTTACTGCCGGAGCTTCGCTCCTGTGCGCTCCTGCAGGAAATGACCCCTGGTGCCCTGGAATCTATGAGGAGAGACAGCTATCTGCCCAAAGAGAACTATTCCACAGAGCAGTTGGGGTGGTCTGTGTGTGGATCATAGGAAATATGGGCACTAGGGTACTTTCTTTTTTTTTTATAAGTACCCAAGGGTAAACATTTATTGTTTTCTTATATTCCTAAACACAGACATAAACAACTACAATAAACAACATATAACCAAGAGACTAATTACAGTTTGTTACTATAACTAATCCATCGCTTCATTATTCTCTAATATTTGTTAATATTCTCTCATTCCACTATTATAAATTACTACATACTCAAATATTATTTTTGCCATATCAGCCTAATCTTTGACTCCATTCACATTATACCAATCATATAGTCTCTTCCAGGTTTTTTGAAATGTCCATTTCTTCGTGCCTCTCATTTCCATAGTTAATTTGTCTATTTCCGCCGCTTCAAAGAGTTTATTAATATATTCCTGCGGTACTTTCAATGGGGCCCTTTGCTGTCATTTTATTTATTTATTTATTTATTATTTATTATGGGATTTGTATCCCGCCCTACCCATATGGCCCAGGGCGGCATTTTGTTTTAATTTTAATTTTTTTGTTATAATATTTTGTTTTGTTTTAATATTTTTAATTACATGAGTTTGTATGGTCTTATTATATTTTAAGAAGAGTAGGATTTATACCCTGCTCTTCACTTGGAGTCTCAGAGCAGCTTACAATCTCCTTCCCTTCCTCTCCCCACAACAGACACCTGCTGGGAGCAGGGGGTGAGGCTTGTTGCATGTGCCCGCCCCCTGGGCTCTTTACTGCCGGAGCTTCGCTCCTGTGCGCTCCTGCAGGAAATGACCCCTGGTGCCCTGGAATCTATGAGGAGAGGCAGCTATTTGCCCAAAGAGAACTATTCCACAGAGCAGTTGGGGTGGTCTGTGTGTGGATCATAGGAAATATGGGCACTGCGGTACTTTCTTTCTTTCTTTTAGGATCCCAGGTTGCTTAGGAGAATGGCAGGCAGATATATATTTCAAATAAATAAAGCTTAAAGTTTATAGGGAACATTGGGAAATGACTGTTTTTAAGCTAACCCCACATACAAACGTGTGTACATGAAACCCATACTATCATCCGTGGCTTGGCTAACTTTCTTGAGATACCTTTACTGCTCTGCATTAATTTTACTAGCTTGATTGATGTGGAGTAGTTTGGAAGCCGGACAAAGACAGAGACAAATTCAAACTTCCTCTCAACTAAGGAAGTTCACTGGGTGACCCTGAGTCTGCCATTTTCTTTTAGCCTAGTCTACTTTGCAGGGCTGTTGTGTGGGCATAAAAGGGAGAGTTGGGTATACCACTCTGAGTGAAAGCTAGACTGAGGCAGAGCGGCTTCCCCCATCCTCTCCTCTAGCGAACAGCCGTCTTTCTTCTGAGGGCTGGCACCCAATTCTCGGCTTTTCTGTGACAAAGTGATGAGAAGGCGGCAGCAAACCGAAAAACGCACCGAAGCGGTGTCTCTTCGCCCTTCAACACGTTGGCCTAGATTTTCTGGTTTGGGTTTAATTCCGGGCAACTGGGAACGAGCCAGCGAGGAGTGGTGATGGGGCCCGCGACGCTCTCTGCCTTGCGGCCCTGGGAAGTTGACGGGCCGGCGTCGTCTTCCCCGCCCACGTGGCCGCTGAGCTGCGCCTCCCGGTCCCGCCGGCTGCGTCTTTCCCCCTCACTGGCTTTGATCCCAGCAGGCGCCACCTTCTCCTCCACCACCACCACCACCGCGCTGGAGCTTGTATTGCAAGGCGGGCTCCCGGTTGGGGAAGGGCCACGTGGCTGAAGCAAGCGGGAAAGCGCGACTTCAGACGGCTGGACCACGGAGGGAGTTGGAGGTGGAGGAATCACCCATCTGAAGGCGGATTGCCAGGTCCTCCCTAGCCCCTTACCGGGGCGGGTAAGGTTGCCAGCTCTAGGTTGGGAAACTCCTGGAGATTTGGGGATGGAGCCTGGACGGGTGAGGGTGGGACCTCAGCGGGGTAAAGGTAAAGGTTCCCTTGCTGGAAAGCCAGTCGAGTCCGACTCTTGGGTTGCGGTGCTCATCTCCGTTTCAAAGCTGAAGAGCCAGCACTGTCCGAAGACGTTTCCGTGGTCATGTGGCCAGCATGACTAAACACCCAAGGCTGTGACCTTCCCACCGAAGTGGTCCCTATTTATCTACTTGCAATTTCTTGCTTTCGAACTGCTAGGTTGGCAGGAGCTGGAACTAGAGACGGGAGCTCACTCCGTCATGTGGCAACTCGGGTCTCGAACTGCTGAACTACTGACTTTCCACAGCCTGCAGTTCACCCTCCAAAGCTTCCATTTTCTCCAGGGGAGCTGATCTCTCTAGTGTGCAGATGAGTTGTAATTCCAGAAGATCTCCACGCCTCACCTGGAGGCTGGCATCCCTAGCAGCATCAGACCAAAAGGCGATCTAGTCCACCATCCTAGTCGCTTTCAGGAAGCTCACAAGCAGGCAAGGAGGCAGCAGCCCCCTCCCACTGCCCCCCCCGCAACTGTTATTCAGAGGTTACCTGCTCCTGAACCTGGCAGTTCCATTGGACCATTGTAGCTAATAGCCGTTGATAGATGTATCTCCCATGAATCTGCCCGATCGTTTTGTGACCACAAATTACCTACATTATGTACTTTGTTTTGCCTTTTCAGAATCCACCTGTTTTACTACATGTCTCCCAAGATCTTGTGTCACAGCAGAGGGAGAAAACTGGTTTCTCTACACCACACGTTTTTCAGTAAGCCTCTATCATGTCTTTTCCTTTTTTAAAAAAAAAGACCCATCCCTGCTCACAGAAAGGTAGCACATAAGGGAAGAACGTAAGGTTATGTGGCAACGCTTCTCCTT